AAAAATTAATGAATGGACATAAAACTGAATATAGGACACGTGTGTAGTGTGACAAGATTAAATCAAGTGGAAAAAAGTGGGCCCTTTTGACAAAATTTGAAGTTTTGGGGATAGTTGACTTTTGGCAATTTTGGAAAAATGCCCAACTTCAACAATGCATAACTTCTTCAATTTTGAACTTTTGGAGGTGTTCTTGGACTTTTTAGAAACCTTGAGATATCCTCTAACCAACCCTTTTGGTCTCTTATAATTTTGATATTCCATGCTCAAGTTATAATCTTTGGAAAAAAGGTGTTTTTGTTGACTTTCAAAAATGACCTATAATGTCCAAATTTGTAACTTCTTCTGAGTGCATTTCTTGATCTTGGGGTGTGAATATGGATTGTAGGAAATTGCATCCTCTTCAAAATGAGCTTTGGATGGGTAATTTCTCATAAAGTATGAGAAAGTTATGCTTGGTCAAAGTTGAGTTGACTTTTCCTACAAAACCCTAATTTAACAACTTTTGAATATTGATGAATCTTGAGCAATCCTTGATGAATCATGATCAACCCTTGATCAAATGATGAATTATCCTTCAAAATTAGAATTTTGACAAAAAATATTGAAGTTTGACTATTTGTAGGTCACATTTGACTTTTGCCCTAGCATAGTCGATTTTTGGACCTCTTGAGCAATTGACTCACCAAATTTCCTCTGCATGGCTTGAAGTTTGACATGGATGACCTTATGAACATATTAGGACATTGGAGAGCACTTGAGGTCATTTGGATGTAAGTACATTGATGCAACATAAAACCCTAATTTGAGGTTGAATGCCTTAGGAGATGACTTGACTGTCCAACTCTTGAGCAACCTTGAGCAACTTGGAGATTATTCTTGACATGTCTTGAGAAATATGGGAGGGCAAATTTTGGGGTACAACAACATTCCACTCCAAAATTAAGATTTCATTCTCTCTTCTTCTCTTATTTGTGCAACCATGAAAATACATAGTGTTTGCATCCCTTTCCTTTAACCATATTGCTCTAGATCTTTGCCATTGGATATTGCCGTTAAGATTATATAATTTGAATATTTGACTTAATTTTTGTCTCTTAGAGAATGACTCCTCCTTTAATAGACCTACTGATTCTTGTTTGAGATTAAGTATATTGAGTTCTTCCTTTGCTTCTTTGATTTTATCCCCAAGGTTTTGCATGTGATTTTTATGCCAATCTCAAAGTCTCTCCTAGATCATCTTCAATTTTTCTGATATAAACATGCCCCATTCTTCTACCTTCATATCCCTCCATTGTTCTCTAACAAAATTACGGTAGCCTTCTGTGTCCTTCCAACAACTTCGCATACAAAATGGTTTCATACCCCAATATTTCTTGTACTCACAAAACATGATTGGACAATGATCTGAAAATCTTTTCTCAAGGCACCATAATTTGCAAGTCAGTCATTCATTGTTCTAAGACTCCAAGAGTAAAAACATATCAATCCAACTCATAGCATAACCTCCAATTATGGATCATATGAATTTTCTTCCATGTAGTGGTAGGTCATACAACTTCTTTTCACTAATGAAGTCGTCAAAATCTACTATCTCTTCCCCGAAGATTGTAACATCCCGTTTTAATTAATAGTATTTATATTATTATTTTCTAAAAATGACCGGTTAATATTTATTTTGATAATTTGATAATTATTTATTCGATTATTCGATCCGGTAGTGGATTAAATTGGTTTATTCGGTTTATCGAAAAATGATTAATTTTATATGATAATATTGTATTTGGTGTGTGTTAATTGATTGATTAGTGGTAATTGAATTATTAAAGTATTTATTTAATTATATTAAGTTAGTTTAATTAAATAATATAAATTAGTTTTATTAAATATATATATATATATATATATATATATATATATATATATATATATATATATATATATATATATATATATATATATATTATATGTTATAATAAGAGTTAGGAAAAAGAGACAGTAAGTTAGAAATTAGAAAGAGAAAAACAGAAAGAAAAATAGAGAGAATAGAGAGAAGATGGCTGAAGAGGAAAAGCTAGGGTTTTCAAGGAGAAGGAAGTTGCTGTAAAAAAAATACCCATCTCCATCTTGCAAAATCAGAGCTATAATCGGTAAGGGTTAGAATTCCTCTAAACATCTAGTATGTTTTTGTTGCATTTGATTTTGTTTTTTTTCTTTGATTTAGGCGGTAAAATTAGTTATCCAGAAATTAATAAAATTTGACGGGGTAACTAAGTTAAACCCGTAGGTAATTATGGTTGAGTTATTTTTTGAGATTTCAACGTTTTCAAGGGCTAATCGGAATTGTGTTTGTTTCTAATTTGCCGGTATAGGCGGTAAAAATTAGTTATCCGGAAATTAATGAAATTTGATGGGGTAACTAAGTTAAATGCGTAGGTAATTATGGTTGAGTTATTTTTTGAGATTTCAAAGTTTTCAAGGGCTAATCAGAATTGTGTTTGTTTCTAATTTGCCGGTATAGGCGGTAAAAATTAGTTATCCGAAAATTAATGAAATTTGACGGGGTAACTAAGTTAAATGCGTAATTCAGTTATTTTTTGAGATTTCGACGTTTTCAAGGACTAATCGGAATTGTGTTTGTTTCTAATTTGCCGGTATAGGCGGTAAAAATTAGTTATCCAGAAATTAATGAAATTTGACGGGGTAACTAAGTTAAATGCGTAGGTAATTATGGTTGAGTTTTTTTTTTGTTGAGATTTCGACGTTTTCAAGGGATAACCGGAATTGTGTTTGATTTGAATAGATCATGGAAGTAACATTATTTAAACTTGTATGTTACTTGATTTGTGAATTATATTTGCATTGCAAGTACAATTGTTGGTATTTCATTGTGTTGAAATATGTGGTATGTGTATGTTAAGGTCGGAAGTGGTCTTAATTGCATACGAGTTGTTGATTGTACATTGCATGGCATGGTTGGTCTTGAAATAGAGACGGTGAAATGGTGGATTCATATTTTATAGACGTTGATCCTTGAATGGAAATAGACGTAGTGGCTTTGACCCGGAAAGGGAACATAGGCGGTGAAACTTGGGTTCACAAAAATAGACGTTGATTCTATAGTGGAAATAGACGTAGTGGCTTTGATCCTATGTGGAAAAATAAGCGGTGGAACTTTGGGTCCACAAGTCAGTACCGCATTTGCATTGTTTGTATCGAGTTGTGAGTCGCATGCATAATGATATATATTATGAGTTTATGTGAAGATGATCGAGTTTGTGAAATTGGTTATGATGTGTGAATGAGTGTGATTATATGGTTAGGATGATAAACGGTTAAAGAGATAATTCTTGAATATAGCGGAATATGGAATATATGAATGTGCTTATGTTAGTGATATACACATATATTCAAGTATGGAGAATTCCTTTTATTTATTGCTTTCCATTGTTTTAAATTATATATTTCATGATTATTGGAATTCTCACCCTTCTGTTGGAATGATGCTTGATACGGCGTCGCTCAGGTACTAATGATGGTAGTACGAGGCACAAGAATTAGCGGATGCATTTAGGCTTGTAGTCCGTTATGTTTTAGTTATTGAGTCGATGCTCTGATTGTAACACTTGGGAGTTTAGTGTCCGCATTCGAACTCTTATTTTGCGGATGGATTATACTTGTATATAATCCTTTATTTTGATCATATTTTGATGTATGTATTATGAGACTTGATAACATGTTTGGTGTATGAACCATATGGCTTAATGCCTTGAATTTTATATTTTGATTCCTCCTTTGGAGATGAAGTTACTATGATTCCGTTGCGTTTGCACGAAAAAGAAAGTATATGCCATGAATGTATTATGTGATTAAATGATTAAAGTGACGAATATGTCATGTCCGTCTTTCTTGAATAAGTGAATTGATGTTGTGATACTCCTCCCGTACAATTTTATTTTCTCTGATTTTAATTATATCGTTTAATTCGGGATTTATTAGAAGGGGTGTTACAAAGATAACTTCACTTGAACCTCTTCTTTCAGTTTCTTTCATGATAATATTAAAATCTCATAACAAGCACCAACATTCTCCTCTATTTGCCGAGATCATTGCATTTAAGTCCACCCATAGAACACGATTTCTTCTTCCTTCACAAGGAGCATACACATTTACTATGTTAATTTTTTTCCTTCCCCCACTCCGTTTCTAGCCATAATACATGGTTATGATGGTTCTCTGTGCTAACATGATACTGTTGTTCCAAATTGTTAATAATCCATCGGACCGTCTTTCCGACGATTTAAAAGTAAAATTACAATATGAATTTCCCCACATCAACATACACTGACTTCTCTCAATGAGTTCCGTTTTTTATTTTTTGAATACATATTACGTCAGGCTTTTGACTTTGAATTAATTGTTGGATTTCTTTTTTCTTAGTCAAACCACCAAGACTCTTAATATTATAACTTATTAACTTCATAAGGAATAGATAAACTCCTACTCCCACACGGATGCATCTCTATTAAAAAGTTTCTTCTCCACACTTCAATCCTAAATGTATGTTTGAATCGGTGGTATGAGATGAAATAGAATGTAATGAAGTGACAATTAATAAGATTCTATTATTTAAATTTGTAAATTATAGATGAAATGGAACTTGATACGATGTAATCCATTCCATCTCATTCCATCTAATTTTTTTTCATTCAATTTGACACGTATGTAATACAACGAAACATTTTTAATAAAATAATTATCTTTTACTAATTATATGAAGAAAATAAATTTAAAGGAGAATTTTAATAAATTAATTAAAAAAACAAAGGGAAAGAAGGAGTAGCCGATAAGATCCATTACTAAGTTGGAGTTGGAGAGATGACACATGGACATGGTGGGTTGAAGTCCGACCACGAACAATGTACACAGACAGTCACTCATCACAAAACACAAGTCAAGCAAAAGTCTGCTCAATTACTATATTTAGTCGATTTACAAATATGGTGGAAACATTATTGGGCCCCACATTCCGTTACACATTCCCAACTTCCAATAGAATCCTCCTTTCTTCTTCAATGTCTCCCAATCGTAATCACCGTCGCTGTAACTCTAACCCTAACCCTAACCCTAACCTCCCTCAACCACAACCCGCTTTGCTCGTCTTCTCCGGTGGAACCGCCTTCAACGGCGTCGTTGAGGATCTTAAAAACTTCACCACCCGTGTTGCTCATGTTCTTCCGGTTTCTGACGATGGTGGAAGCACTGCCGAGATTGTTCGTGTTCTTGGTATGTATGTACATACAGTGTTCATCTTTAATGGTTTGATTGATTGATTGATTGTGTTTTTTATTGAGAATTTTGGTGAATTGAATTTGGGGGAGGAGTGGTTTTTTTTTAGGGATTTGGTTGATTGTGGTGTGTGTGTTACAGGTGGGCCTGCGGTTGGAGATATACGTTCTAGGTGTTTGAGATTGTCTGATCAAAGTACGGCGGAGGCCCTTGCTGTTCGGAATTTGCTTGGTCATCGTTTATCACTTGATGCTCTGCAAGCTAAATCAGAATGGTACCGTATTGTTACTCTTTCTCTTTCAATTGTGGATACTTACTTGCTTTGTAAATTGTTGTTTTGGACGTTTTGGGTTAGTACTGTGTTCTATCAAGCACGGACACAAGCTCAAACACCGAAAATACAACAACAACAACGCCTTATCCCACTAGGTGGGATCGCTACATGGATCAATTTTCGCTATAATGTTCTATCAATGACCATGCTTCTATCTAAATCATTAGTTTCGAGATCCTTCTTGATAACTTCTCTTGTAGTCTTTTTGGGTCTTTCTCTTTCTCGAATTGTTTGTCTTCTCTCCATGTGGTCTACCCTCCTTACTACATAGTTCAAACCACCTAAGTCTATTTTCCACCATCTTCTCTACAATAGGTGCTACTCCAACACTCTCTAATAATTTTATTTTTAATTTTATTTTGTCGAGTCTTACCACACATCCACCGCAACATCCTCATCTCCGCTACACCTACTTTATTCTGTTGTTGGTTCTTAACCGCCCAACATTCTGTTCCGTACAAAATCGCAGGTCTTACCGCAGTCCGATAAAACTTTCCCTTTAACTTGAGCGGTACCTTTGCATCACATAAAACACCTGATGTCTTTCTCCATTTCATCCATCCAGCTTGAATACGATGATTTACATCCCCTTCTATTTCTCCATCATTTTGTATTACGGACCCAAGATATTTAAACAGTGTGACTTGAGGGATAATATGGTCTCCTACTTTCACCTCTAAGTTAGAAACCTTGCTTCTTTTGTTGAACTTATATTCCATATACTCCGACTTACTTCTGCTTAGGCGAAAGCCATGTGTTTCTAAAGCCCTTCTCTAGGTTTCCAACCTCGCATTTAACTCCTCCCTCGACTCTCCAAAGAGGACTATATCATCTGTAAAAAGCATGCATCTCGGCGCTATCTCTTGGATTTGTTCCGCGAGTACATCCAAAATTAAGGTAAAAAGGTAGGGGCTTAAGGTTGACCCCTGATGCAAACCAATTGTGATGGGAAAATTGTCAGTCTATCCACCCCGTGTCGTAACACTAGTCGATACCCTTTCATACATATCTTGGATAGCTCGAATATATGCAACCCTAACCCCTTTCTTCTCAAGAGCTTTCCACAGAATATCTCTAGACACTATCATACGCATTCTCCAAGTCAATAAAAATCAAGTGCAAGTCTTGTTGGTCCATTCAATATTGCTCCATCACCCGCCGTAATTGATAAATCGCTTCCATGGTCGACCTTCCCGGCATAAAACCAAATTGATTCTCAGTAACTTGAGTCTCTTTTCTTAATCTCCGTTCAGTCACTCTTTCCCATAATTTCATGGTATGACTCATAAGCTTGACTCTCCTATAATTTGCACAATTTTGTATATCCCCTTTGTTCTTATAGATAGGAACTAAAGTGCTTCTCCTCCATTCATCCGACATGCGTTTTGACCTCATAATTTCATTAAAGATTTTGGTGAGCCACTCAATACCTCTATTTCCAAGAATTTTCCACGCTTCAATAGGTATGTTGTCTGGCCCCATCGCCTTACCGTTACTCATTCTTTTCAACGCTTCCTTTACATCCTGTTTTTGAATACGGCGATAGTAACAATAGTTTTGATCCTCTTCTCTTATGTCTAGTCTGCTAGAGTCATACCCATATCCATCATTAAATAAGTTGTGAAAATACGCCTTCCACCTATCCTTTATATCTTTTTCCTGCACTAAGACTTTGCCTTCTTCATCCTTAACACACTTTACTTGATCCAAATCTCTAGTCTTTCTTTCTCTTTCCTTAGCAAACCTATATATAGATCTTTCTCCCTCCTTGGTTCCTAGAGATTGGTATAGTCCATTAAAAGCTTGGGTTCTTGCTTCACTCACCGCCTTTTTGGTTTCATTTTTAGCTATCTTGTACTTTTCCCAAGTTTCAGAATTTCTACACCTAGACCACTCTTTAAAACAATCCTTTTTTACTTTAACTTTGCTCTGGACCCTTTCATTCCACCACCACGATTCTTTACCCCCGGGTCCAAAACCTCTAGATTCACCCATCGTCTCTTTAGCCACTTTTCTAATCTCTAGGGCCATCTTGTTCCACATATCATTTGCACTTCCCTGTGATTGTCCAAACTATCCCTCCCATATCTTTTGTTGGGAAATTCCTTGTTTCTCACCCTTCAAATGCCACCATTTGATCCTTGGTGCTACTATAGGACTTCTTCTCTTTGCCCTTTCTTTAATTCTTACATCCATAACCAAAACTCTATGTTGGATAGTCAAGCTCTCTCCCGGGATAACTTTACAGTTCAAGCAATACTTCCTATCAGACTTCCTGATAAGAAAGAAATCTAAAGAAATCTATCCGAGAACATGTCCCTCCACTTTTATATGTGATAAGATGTTCATCTCTTTTCCTAAACCATGTATTGGCTATAGAAAGATCTAAAGCCGACGAAAACTCCAAGATGGATTTACCCTCCGCATTTACCTCCCCTAGGCCAAGACCCCCATGCACACTCTCAAAACCTCTTGTCATGCTACCTACATGTCCATTGAGATCTCCTTCTAGGAAAATCTTCTCTCCTTGGGGTATATCCTGAAGTACCCCTTCTAAATCCTCCCAAAATTTTACCTTAAGGTGTTCTGCTAACCCAACCTGCGTACCCACTAATAACATTAAAGGTGTCTTGTCCCACTACAAATTTCAAGGCTATGATTCGATCTCCTACTCTTCTTGCATCCACCACCTCCTTCTTCCACTCCTTATCCATAATAATTCCCACTCCATTTCTTGATCTCATTTTTCCAGTATACCAAAGCTTAAATCCCGAGTTATCTAATTCTTTCGCTTTTTCACCTGTCCATTTAGTTTCTTGTAGGCACATAAAATTGATCTTCCTCCTAAGAGTGACACAGACACGCCTTTTTCCAAAGATGTTGTAGTCTGTTGGTGCTACAGAAATTGAGTTAGCATCTAATACTGTGTTTTGATAAACAACTCAATTAATAGCTTATAGTATGATTGTTTATCATACAAGTGCATATTTATAAGTCATTTCTATTGTTAAGAGTTTCACATCCGACAATACAAGTCAGTTTTGTAGGGTTGAGTTAGGTCCCACCACATTTCTTAACTTGGTATCAAAGTTTTTAATTTGGTATCAGAGTCTGGTTTTAGATCCGGTGGACCATTTGCTATTAGGGTTTCCGCTATCAAGCCACCCACCCTTTATTTCCACGTTTCAGATGTCTAGTCCTGAGTGTGAGGGGAGTGTGTTAAGAATCCCAAATCAGACAATATATGGCCTGAACATGTCTTTATAAGTGAGGATAATCTTCACCCTATTGGATGACAGTGTAAAACTTTTTTACGCTGTCAGTGCATCTCCATTAAACTCTTAATGAGAAAAAAGGATGATGCACCGACAATGTAAAATTAATTTTACAGTATCAATTAATGACGACCATGTATCCCGTCAAGTCAGACTGAAATTTTTAAATTATTTATATGGCATGGCAGAATGATATATTTCTATTGGATGACAATGTAAAACTATTTTACAGTGTCCGTGCATCTCCATTAAATTCTTAACATCTATAACAAGAGATAAAATAATGTTGAATGTTTTTCACAAAAACTATAAACTGTTTTCATAAATTATTCATGGAAATCTTGTAGAATGATCTGAAAATAATTTACATGATAAGCTATTTCCTTAAACTCTCCCAAATAGTTTCTTAGGTCTTGTTAATAGATACTCCCTCTGCTCACTATTATAAGCAAAAAAAAATGACCTTAAATCTTGGTCACTATTATAAGCAAAAGTCGTTAACTTTTAAATTAATTAATACTTATATTACTATTATACCCTTAATTTAATTCAAAAGCATTTAATATTGGTAGTTGATACATCAAATATAACTAAGAATATTATAGTAAATTTTACTTTGATTGTATATGAAATCGAGAAAATTAATTGCACCTAACTAACTTTCTTAATCTGTGTGAAAATAGCTATTTTAGCTTATAATTATGACCGGAGGGAGTAAACTCAAATATTTTCTAGGGATGGTGCCTTGTTTGTATAATTGAGTTGAGGAGTCATATCAATGTCACGGCCTCCAAAAGTTTTTTAAAATTTATATTCTTATACTATTTGACCTTTATTTATGTGAATGTTAACATGCTTGGTAAATCAAATTTTAACTTTTTCAAGGTCATTCTGTTATTGTTTTATCAGCTTCAATTCTTTTGTTGTAATAATGTTAGGTATTCTATTGTGGAAGGTGATCATGTTTTATGGGAAGGTGTGTCAAAACCCTACAGGGAGACTATTCGAGCTTTTCTGGTTTATTTCCAAAATCAGGTGATTTCTACAAAGAAAACTCGGGCTGTTTCTGAATGCTGATATTTTGTTTTTAGCTCTTAGTAATCGGTTTTGTTGCAAAACAATTCTTACATCTTTGTAATTTTCTTTTGAGATGGATGTATTGCTCTTAGAGTCTAGTCTAGTACTTTATGCAATATCATACCTTTATTTTGGGAACTAGTAATTGCTTCTTACAGCCCAATCATTTGAAAATCATAGATGATTGTCATGATCAAGGCTTTTCAAAGTTTTTATGCTTTGAAGAAATTTGGCATTAAATTTGTATTTCTTTCTGGTCTTTATACAGATTCTCTGCCGGTCTGAAGGAGCATTTTGTTTCAGCAATGGCAGGTCCTCTATTTTTATTTAGCAAAGATGCTTGCAGTGATTTTCTTTTTAAAGTGCTGTAGTCTCCCCTCCCTCAACTGATTTTTTAGATTTTGTCTCCCAAGTATATAAATGATTGCTGTAATCCAATGTGAATGCAACTTATGTTTTACTTTGGTTATATGCTGGCATGGCCGAGCTGATTCAAATTAAAAAAATACACATATAATAAAATTACCTGCTAACTGACTTTTTCGCATGCAACATTCTATTGACATAGCTGACTTTTATAGATTATGCAGCATTGGAAATTTCTTTTTTGCAGGAGCACGTATATTTTTTCAGTCCTTGGATGCGGCAATATTTTTGTTTTCAAGAGTTTCTGATATTCCCCCTGAAAGCCTTGTTCTCCCAGTGATTTCAACCAATGACAGACTTACATTAGGGTGTGAATTATTGGTATGATACATCTATTTAATTGTGAAATTATCGTATGGTTTCTTAATAGTTAAATGCTACTTTAGGGAAAGTTTATTTGTTTACTGTTAGAAAACTTGATATTGCATTATCATTGTATTAGGATGGAACTATTATTCGGGGACAAAATGAAATTTCTCACCCATCCGGTGGAACAACGGTACCTATTAAGAAGGTAAGACAATGTATTTTCCTTGTCATTGCCTACCCTTACTGTAATTTTTACCTGAGATAAAGCTTGTATAGCTTTTTGAGATTCTTATTTGATGAACTGAGCAATTTGAAGATTCTTATTCTGATGTTGCATGACCTGAAAAAAATTGGATTGACATTTGAAGATATTTAAATGTTGGATGTTAATTGTTTTTGAAACAGAGAAAAATTTACCATAAAAATATAGAATTTGACCTTCTATTTTATAAATTTTGCCAGGGGGATTTCCCATATAATGATGGGTATTGACTTTGAATTGAAATATATGCATTGTTTTCTCAATCACACAAGAATGTAGTAGTGATTCGAGTATCCATCTACTGAAAGTCATAGTCAATAGTTTGTTGGTTCACTTGATTGAGATTTTACACGATGCTGCTGATTATTGTTACATACTGGATTTCTCTTTTATTAAAATTTTATAATTTCATGGTTAGGAAAGCTTTTCGGCTCCAGCTCTTCCTTCAAAAATAAAACGGGTGTTCTACATGTCAAGTGAGGGACAAAATTTGCTCCATGAGGTAAGTTCTGTGTCATGTTTCATATTTTGTTAAAGTATGTCTGACTCTCACATTGAGTCATGCATCGCGGACTTGCGGTAAAAAAATGAGCAGAAGAAATAATGGGTTATATGGAAGATGCAGCCAGTGAAGTAATTTATGAGTTTTATTACAAATGTAAATTTTAGAAAAGGAAGGAAAAATTTCTAATGTTTGGCATGGACATGTAATTAAGATGGACCTATTTGATAATTCATTAAAAGTCAATGGGTACAAAGTTTTTCTCAGCTTAAGCACTTGAGTATGTATGTAAACATTGTTTTTGGATTTTAATATATTGCCTTATACCTATTAAGACTCAATTGCTCATGGGCTCATAGCATTTCATCTAGTCTTGTATCAATCAAACTCTCTTTGTTTATTAATATGGACTAGAATTTTGGCTTAATGATTCATCTCTTAAAAAAGAGTCACCTCCGAATTGATCTTCGGTGGGAAGAAAAGACACCACTAATATGATCCAGACGTGGGAAGAGAATCACCACCAGAATGATCGTCGACGGGAAGATAAGTCACCACGATAGAATCCATGAATGAGAAAAGAGGACACGAAGAACAAACAATAAAACAACCAAACAAACACTTGTAGTTGAGTCCAAAATAGAGAGAAGGGCCTGTTTAAACTGTATCCTAAGTATTTGTGTACCAAAACCAAACACCAAGACCAGATACGATACCAGTGTGCTGAGGCGGCGCCTAATAGAACAACACAAGTGGTGCCGACAGTCTGAAATGTGTCATCCAGAATGCACGTGTGAGATGGATGACGACGGTGATCTCCTGGGTGTAGGCTGGTTTTGAGGTGGTCGTAGTAGTGTAGTTGGTTGCTGAAAAGGTCGTCGGCTTTGATGGCTTTGGCGACTTATATGACCAAAAACTGAAAAAGGGTCACATAATGAGAACCTGCTCTGATACCATCTAGAAATTGTATTTCTGTGTAATGTCTGCGTATCTAAACAGAGCACACCTTGTTTGTATTTATAATATAGATAGGCATCAATTACAATGAACATAATTGAAATGACAACTAGCAAATCATAACGTTTGATCTCTAATTGAATGCCGTGTTAGTGGGGTTTCTATTTTACTTGTTTTCTTCTATTATGAAAATATTAATACTGGCATATACTGCACAACTTTTAAACTTAATTATCTTTCTGGACGAAATGTAAATTTGAATTTGGCTATTGTGTTTCTAACCCCGTGCAGATCATAATTGAAATTTCTTTTCACTATTTTGAATAGGTTTTTCCCTCACCTAATGCAGCTGTCTTAGAACAACTATACAATGTCGATTGCATTGTGTATGGCATGGGTTCCCTTTTTACCTCAATCTGCCCCTCATTGGTAAGACTCTCGCAATTAGCCAGCTTTGATTGTCTTTACCATCAAATATGGCTGCACCAGCCTTTACAAATGGCAACATTGATTAATTGGGGCTTACGTACCCGGCATCTTTCTTTTTATTGAATATTGCAAATGTATATAGATCTTGTGTCTGAATTTTGAGTAACTTGACAGTTCAACTCTTCATGTATATTTTTGAGGTAATTTATACTAGATTTCACTCTGACACTTTTGTTCTCCTATTAGATGCTCTCTGACTTGCTAATTGTTCTAGGTATTACTGGGAATTGGGGAGATTATTTCTTCAAGGTCTTGCCTCAAGGTATTTCAGGCCTTCCTTACTATTCACATATTCTAATGCTTATGATATTTGAACCACAAAATCCATCCATGTAATTGCCGAGTGTAGTGCTATCCTCAAGACTCATGCCGTCATTTATCCAACATGTTTGATCCCTGTTTCATGATATGCCTGGCATGGTGTTATTAACTGGAGGTTAATTAATGCTTTCTTGCGTAGTTGTAAAATATATTTAGAACCATCTACTAAGCACAAGCTTCAGACAGTTTTATCTGTTATATTGATTGAGTACTGTTAGGTTTGATTTGGCACTCTAAACATTTGAAGTTATCTACTTTTTAGCTCAATTTTTTTCGTTTTTCTCTAATTTGATTGAAAAATGATAGGTACTTATGTTAAATGGTACACATGACCGGGAGACGAATGGCTTTTCAGCATCTTGTTTCGTAACTGCAATTACCGATGCTCTAAATCGAACATATGGAGAATCTTGCAACCGCTTACAGAATATTGTGAGATTCCTTCCTATTGAAATCACCCTTTTCTATTTCTTTAAATAGAAATTTTATTTTGAAGTGTAATTTACTTTCAATCTCTTTTTTGGGTCAAAAGACAAATACTTTCTATCTTTTGTTATTATTAGTATTATTATTTGATTTCCTTAGAAACTAAACATAAAATGAAAATTTTGGGATGCCAAATAGCTTTGCTTCTACAACTCTAATTTCGTTAGTCTTATACTTTGTTCCTTCTCTCTCTTTTATTTCTCAGTGCATCTTTAGATATGATTTACCAGAAATTTTTACAGTTTCACCGGCGTCATCTTAAAATTCTTCTTTTTATACAAGATGATATGTTCTGTGCTAAAAATAATTATAATAGAAAATGAAAACCAAAAAGGATAATACACCATTAATAATGTGCAAAATAGTTTTATTTGTTTTTTATATTTGATGCAGCCTAGTCAATATATCAATACCCTTTTGGTGCCAAGAAACAGTACAGTTTCTGTTGATGTTGAGTGTTTGGCCGCCCAAGGAATATTTGATGTGGTATGTCTTCCAAATATGTTACAGATTAACGTGGATCTGTTTTATTTTTTTGTGTATTCTTATTCTTATTTTGGTATAGAATCCATGGTCATTTTATGATGCAATTTATTTTGCTCGTGATCATATATATTTATGCAGATAGTTGTTGACTCCGTACTTGATCCTAAAGTGGGTATAATATATGATCCAAAGTCACTGATTAGAGCTCTTGCTGACCTAATAGAGAGATACATGAAGTCGCAGGTTAATTGCTTAATTGAAACCAGATGATCACGAGGGGCTAATCATTATAACCACAATAGTTGCTGCAGAATCATATTTTTGCAGTATGTTCATTACAATATACATGGTATGAAATTCTTATTCTTTATCAAGAGAAATTCTTTTCACTCTATTGTCAAATTTTCTTACTGACCATAAATTGGGAATTCTAGGTGAATTTGTCTATTTATTCCCGCCCATCAAAAACAGAGTTAGAGACTGGTGTAACAATCAATAGTTCAGTTCTCTTATTTCTGTGAAAAATATTTGATTTTGTTGAAGATAAATAAAGACATGTCGAAGAGCTGTTGTATTATAAGAATAGAGAACGAAACAATCTCTAGTAACTGTTGTGTATATTATCACATATCGAGCTTTGTGTATACATAAACCTATTATCATTTATTGTTTGACTTGACTGTGTCTTCTAATTTTCTTTCCAAATGATCTAAACTTACTTAGGTAAATAGCAGAAGCACAAAAGCAGTTAAATATGCTAATGATAATGTTTCTTTTATTGATATAAATAAGATGAATTTCATCACAATACAAGTACAAACACGAAGAAGCTTCTAAAAGCGTCGGAAAAAGAAAAACTTGAACAAAATAGGATACTTATAGTTACTTATAGCAACACAACAAGAACTGATACTCTGAAATTCATTTGAAAGGAGTACTACATAGTGGGATAAGAAGCATGCGCAGCTATGCCACACTGACCTCTAGGGTCACCACTTTCCCTCAACACCCTCATGTACCCTCCTTCACCCCAATCTTTACCCCATTGATTCTTAATCAACCAATACTTTGTTCCATCTTCTGTTACTCCATAACCAACCACTGTAACTGCATGGTTGAAGGGTGTTCCACATGTTCCTGAATATATCCCTTCCTTGTATGACTTAAATTCACTGCCGACATCGATCCCAACTGATACTGGTTGTTGTGCTACAGCATGTAGTAGTTGTTGTTCATCATTAGCAGGTACATCTACAAAACTAGTTATTTGAGCTGCGGTTGTCATCTGATCATTTAATTGGCAGGTTTGTTGAACTTCTTGGTATCGATAATCAGCTTCACTAACGATACCGTTGGTTTGTATTATAGATTTGAAGGCATTATCCATATATAACCTCCTTTACACCCGTAGCTCTGTTGATCACAGTCAAGCAATTGTTGCTCCGACAATGAGATCAAGTTACCGGTTTTGATTTTCGTAATACCTTCTACAGTCGCCACAGCTGGAAATGACCAGCAGCATCCTGTTACACATATTTAATGATATCAGAAGATGTAGAATAACCAATATTAAAGTTTATCAAACACAAACTTATTGGATTAAGTGTCTATTGAGATTCCTTGCTCCAAGATGAATAATTTGTATGTAACTTACCACATGTGCCTTGGTTCTTAACATCAGTGACAGCTCCTTGTTCTCTCCAGTCAAAATTTGTTGGAACATCATCATTAACATCCAACACTACTGCATTTGATTCCAACTTGGAGGAAGAAAGTTGGTTTGGAATCTTAATTCCAGTGTGTGAAGCAATAAACTCTTCACTAGTTAAATCAGAATATGGATTTAGGCCAAGCTTGTAACTCTTGTTACCAGCATTGTTAAATTTCTCTATGTATTCCAAATTCTCTTTGAATATTTGTAAGCGTTTCTCCATTTCGAAACTATCAGTGTAGGTGCGCCCATGTTTCATCATCCATTGCTGATGTTTTTCAGCAACAGATGATTCATACAGAGTTCGAGACATGGCTGTGTAAGCACATGCCCACAAGATCATGATACAAACAACAAGGAATTTCATGCTGTTTTTTGGGTAGCTAGCTAGACAGTGAAGAGAATGTTTTGTGAAGAAAAGGAACATTAGATACCACTATTTATAGAATTTAAAATCCAGTTCTAACGTAACCAGAAGGAAATTGCGTTAGTCAAATAAAGAAAATTATGGTATAACAACAAAAAAAAAAGAAGAGAAATTTTGTTCCTGGCGAAAATCTTGGTATACGTGAGTAGTACTCCTACGTTGGTTAGTTTAAGGTTGACTTGTAAACTTACTACCTTTAAGCATGATTCAGCCTAATAAATTTAACTTCTAATAAATATAAACATATAAAAAATTATGCTTAATTTTAATATTATTTAAAAATTTACAAATCAGTTTATATATTTTTTGTTTAATTGTATTTATAGTTAGTATAATATGTTCACTAAATTTATCGTTAAGTTTTAAATTCATGTATATTGCATTTAAAATTTATCATTAAATTAAAATTTCCGTCAATTTTTCCACTTGAAGATCAGTGAAAAAATATTGTAACAGTTGAAGATTACAATAAATTTCAAATAAATTGTAAATTAGTTTTTATATTTTCAAAAGAAATTACAAAATTATGGTCTATAGTCCAATACTCCATATAAATTGAAATTAGTTTATATATTTTAAATTTTCTATATTATATTATATTATATTTAAAAATTAATATTCTTATAGCCATTCGACTTAGATGCACTACTTGTCTCACATTTTTATTTATTCAAAATTTAAGACTTTCTATCATTATAGTAAATATGGATCAAGTTTTTATAGACTGACACGTTTTTTCAAGAGACTTGTGTTGTTTTAGTATTTTACTTGGGGATTAATGGTTATGTAAAAAAGTTTTATAATGTCAATCCATCGTAATCATTCATAAATATTAGAGTTAAATACCTTTTACTCCCAGTCATATGGGCGTGTTTTGATTTTTCTCCCCTTGAGAAAAAAAGTTTCTTTCTATCCCTTAACAAATATAGATTCCAATACAAAATACCCTGTTTAGATTTTTTTCTCAAAGATTTTTGGAATCTGGCCTACATGGCCAAATAATTGTGGCTGATTGTGCATTCCAGTGACACGCTGGATTGTTTATAAAAGTCATTGATGTCATATAGGATTATAACTTTCTCATTTCACCCCCTTGAAAATCTAGGGTTCGTATCCATCAACAAAAGCAAGCGAAGATGACGAAGAGACGTGGGGCCACAATGAAGAAGAAGAAGTCGAAGCAATCAGAGCAGTCTAAGCAAGCGAAGGAAGGTACTCAAGCAAGTCAATCAAAGCATCCAATTCAACCGGAGATGCATGAAGAAGAAGAAAATCAAAAGGTAAGTTTTTTTCACTGTCTGCGTCGAACTAACAAAGTGTAGTGTGAACGTTAGGCTTTAATTGTTTGCGTTTCTAATTTTAGTTTAAGTAAATCTTCAATGTTGTATTCCACCATAGAGGGGAATTTGTGAGGTTGAATGATGGGGTGTGATGATATATAGGGGAGGTGTGTCGACCTTAGTTTCTGGGATCCGTATTGATAAATGGACAATGGTTAGCGTTCATAGGATGTTGTCTAGGTGGGGTTACATGCAAAGGACATATAGGACATGAACGAAGATTATTGAAATAGATCCTGACTTTTTCCAGATAAGGAAGGATGATAATTGTTACGATTTCACAACATATGCTTGTGCCAATGAGGTTGATGGGGAAATGTTTGTGGAGCATGGTGTAAGAGATGTTGAAGTCTTAATAAGAAGTCCTAGGTGTGTGAATGAGATACTTGAGATGGATATATGTGATGAAGAGGGAGTTGAATGTTTGGGTGATAGCGAAGATGAACGCGCCACTGTTATTCAATACGTGAGTGATGCGTATTAAATGGTAGGGAAATAATATTTGTGAAAAACGAGAGCAACATGGTAAAGGTTGTATGTAGGGCCAAATGTGGGTTTTTAATACTTTGCTCAAAAGTGGGCCATAAGCACACTTATGCTATAAAACCATATTTGACAAGCATACATGTGATAGGGTTTTAGATAACAGATCTGCAAACTCAAAGTGGGTGGCTAAAGCTGTAGTGAAAAAAAATGTAAACATCTCAAAGTGTTAGGATCAGTGATATAATTCAAAACATGAGACAAAAATTTTCCGTGGGAATCACTGTATATAAGCTGACTTTACTTGAATTGTATTTTGTTAGAAAAAGGCCAAGCCACAATCAACCTCTGTAGTGGCTCCAACTGAAACTGATGCAACAACTCAAGGTGCTGTAGTGGATACAACTGGAACTGATGCAACATCTCCAAATGCTACAATAGATACAACTGGAACTAATGCAACATCTCCAAATGCTGCCACTCAATAATCTGACTACTTTGGTGACATGACTGATGATATCATTTCAAGCATCCCTGACATCAATAGTTCACAAGCACCTGTTGAAGAAGTTATAGATGTCAAAAGGCCAAAAAATAAGGGGAAACAGGTGATGCCAATGAAAAGGAGGTCAAGTGAGAGAATTAAGATCAACTAGTTTAAAAAAGCAAAACCATTCACAGGGCCTGGTTCTAACCAAGACTAACCTATGTCTCTAACAGATGATGAAGGTGGTACTTTGACACAGGAAGGAAGTGGATCTCAACATGGAAAGAAGAAGCTTAGGAAGTAGTCTGTTATGCCTTTGTTATGACCAAGTTTAGCATATTGCCTTTTGAACTTTAAGTATAACTAATGTATTTTGTTATGGCTTATGCCTTTTGTAATGGATAATACTCCTTTTGTTAGGGCTTATGCCCTTATGTTATGACTTCTGCACTATGTATTGGCTTATGCCCTTGTGTACTGAATTATTTCCTTGTGTAGTAAATTATGCCTTGTGTTATGTCTGAATTATTGGATATTGTCTAAATTGTTGCATTTTTTTGTTGAAACTACCTTTGCTGATTGGCATAAAACACCATATTACATAACTCATCAAACTTAAGTGTACATTCTTGATATTGTGTATCTGTTTACGGGGAAATCTGGTAAACAACCGCTAGTCTTCCAAATTAAATACTTTAGTAACTTACAGGATCGACTAGATTGATCCTAGGACATGTGTCTAAGTTTTTATGACTACTTATAATGGAATTCATGTTTTAACAAGAACACTTTGTTGACAAAGATGTTAAAGATTTCTTGAAT